TAAATGAACGTTCGAGGTTTTGCTTCTCGGCTTTCAGTGTTTCATTCTCGGCGGTTAATTGCTTTATTTCAGCATCCAGTTTTTTCTTCACTAAAATTACGATTTTTGGTCATAAATATTTTAACATTGTTAATTGCTGTGATATCCTATTTTCTAAAGGAAATATAAAAGAGAGCCAAAAAAAAGTGAAAAATTGGTATTGAAAGTTGTTGGCATTTTATTATACGTGAATCATATGAAATGCAAGGCATACATTACTAACAATGGTGCTTAAGATGAGAAGAAAAACAATGTAATATGTACTTTAAAAAATCACCCTACCACAACACTTAGTGCAGTTTTACTCCCTAACATTAAACATTTGTTTAGTGGATTTTTAATCAGAAGCTAACAAATAGACTTTTGTTAATGGTTAAATGGTTAACTAAATGACATTAATGGTTTGGAACAATATAAGTGAATATATTTGCTGGAACAATAATGATATACTTACCACGGTTCGATTCCTCTTTTGCTTGTTTTAGACTGTGAATTTGTCGCTCGTAGTCATCGGTCATTTGTTGCAGTTCTTTCTTCCTTGTTTCCAGTCGATCATATTTTCGCCTCATTAGTTCCATCTCTTCATATGAGGGATTTCTGCTGCTGCTCTAAACACAACACAACATTAATCTTTTTAAATATAATAGACTATATTAGTATACACTTCTTCCACTGTGACACTGTTAAACAGTAGGAACCAGTAATGGATAAGGGAGAAAAACTTACTAAATAAGACGCGTCTAAACCTGAAGTTCCTGGTACTGTATTGTCCGACTGAGTACCGTCACTGACTGTCGATGACTGCTTTTCAGCCATTGTTCTTTGCCTGCTTTCTGCATCAGCAATTTCCCGTTTCTCCAGCTTCTGCGTCAGTTCTTGAATATCGCTTTTCAGTTTCTCGTTTTCACGTAATACTAGTGCATTATTACGTTCAAGATTTTCTTTTTCGACTTTGATCATATCAAATTCTTCCTGTAGCTCCTGTAAGATATCACGGTATGATTCAGTAACCAAAATTTATTAAGTTGGTTAATCCGAACTGTTAGATGGGATAAGAAAACAGTCAAAACGGCTCGAACGGTTGCCTCTTTTTCTTTCTGAAGTTGTTTCCTCTTCTCTTCAAATTCACGTTTAATTTCTGCAGCATTATTCCGTTCTTCCTCCAACTCCTTTTCAATAGCAGCTTTTGCTACGGCGTCTGCTTCTCTTGATTCTTCCAATTCCTACAGAGATTATGAACAAATAATATTGTTTCATTACAACAAGCCACTTTAAGCGTAGGACCACAATTTGTGAACAAAGCGCAGAAGTATGGCAAAGTGCTGTTAATTAGGGGAGCTTTTGTCATTTTTTAGAACGCTTTCAAAATCTAGCGTCCTAACGAGTGGGCATTTTATATGACAAATAAAATTCCACTCCAAATGAAGCTTAAAATACCTCGATCTTCCGACTGAGTTCTGCAAAATCTCTTTTTGTGGTCAAAAGTGGTATAAGGGGCTTCAGATGAAAATAAAGTTGTACCCAACGACTGTTTTGCATCTGAATCCAGGCAAGAACATTTTGCTGTATAGTCAAAATTGCAAGCCTAAAAAATTTTCAAATTATACATTTTTAATTTGGACAATTTTTTACATGTGCTGAGGCATTGCTACACTTGTTTGCTTAAAGAAGCTGAACTATGAAAAACACTTCACTACTTCAAGCTTAAATAACTTCTTACCTTTTTTCATTAAGCGATAAGTAGTGAAGCCGGGCTAAATAAAATCTGCAAGCACTTTGCAATTGTACTATGACATCTGATAGTGCTATTTCTCTAAGTTTTTCTAAATTGTGTAACACACTGTGCTTGAAATAGACCTAAAAATAGTCACAGTCAGTTGGTTCATCAAAACTTCATATTTAAATTGATCTAAAATTTGCTCATTTGCCGTTATTCTGTACTCAAGCCGCACTACCAGTTTACCTTAGTTTGACCCATTTGAAATTGATTTTCCTTTAGGATTTCTTTTTGCTGTAGAGTCTGAAGCATTGCTTCAACTACATTACGATCATCTACATCTGTTGAGTCACTTGTTGCAATAATGGAATATCGGTTACGGAATTCAGCAAATGATAATTTCTCTGGATATCCGTTACGACAAATTCGAAGGGCTTCCAAAATTCCATTGCATGACAACTGCAGTTATTAAGATACCAGTTTTACAAAAGTGTTAAAGACATATATTATTGGTATTGTTTAAAAATTGTAGTGAAGAAAATCTTTTAAAAAAAAATTTTTGTACTTGGTTAAGTATAAGAGGGCCGTCAAAGACTGCACTTTGTTTGAGATCATTAGGTACGATACATCGAACGAAATGTGGCTGAGTTTCTTCGAGATCACGAAAAAGTTTAGACAACGAGTTGGTATAAGCGGTAGAATAGGTCGTTGAAACTAGAGTTTTAAAAATTTAAGTAATTTTAAAGTCATAAAGGTAGGATATGTTTAATAAAAAAATTTCTAGATAGAATTTTTGATAAGATCTACTTTCTACACAGTGTGAATCAGTATTTCGTCCTTCGGGGTAATTTTCCCATAATTTTGGAAAGAACGTTTTATCGCTGGCAGTTTTAAAAACAGAAATTAGTGATTCACAGGTTAGGCTTCTGTTTTTTTCGACCCAGTCATCAACGCTATATCGAACTTGTCCGGCGTAATGTAATACCGTAAATTCTTTCTTTTTCTATAAAATTGCTTTTAACTAAATTTAGAAATTATGCACAGCAACAGAAAATAATTAAGCAACAGAAAAGCGAGAACCGTTTTAGGGTGCATATATTCTGGTCTGTAATACGGCCACCGATCGGAGAAATTTGCATTAAGTTTTATGTAAAGAGCATCGTTACTACCGCTGTCACTTTCAGATTCTTTGTTGAGTATTCCGAGAATACCAGAAGGCTAAATGCAGCAAAAAAATAAACAGAATAATCTCAATTTGGAGACGAATGTTGATCGATATAGTAACTTACCAGCTGTATAAGATTAATACAGGGCTGTAAATTATGACCAAAGTCAACAAGTTGCCACTTTAGCTTCTCCTGCCTGTACTCCTCTTGTTCCATTGAAAACATTTGATTGTTAAAGTACTGTTGTAGCTTTTCATTTACAAAGTTGATCCAAAATCGTTCAAATGTGTTATACTGCAATTGGCTTTATCAGTTCATAAAAACACTGGGCAGCAAAACAACATTTAAGGCCGTTTTAGCAACCGTCGTTTGCAACAAAAGTTAGTCAGTCAAAATTTGACGAAATTAGTTCAGATGAACACCAAATTATAGAGGTTTCAGGAATACGGCTTGGCAGAAGAATGAGTATCTAAAAAAACTTACTGGATATCTTTCATAACCAGCTATATCAAGAATTCCAATTTGTGTAGCAACTTCTTGATCTGCGTCACCTTTTAAAATCGTGTTAAGCCTAAAGAGTAGCGATTTGTACATGAAATAAATCGGTAATTTTATCAACTTAAATCAAAATCAAAAGTGCAAAAAAAAGTACCTAGCAATAAGCCATGAAAACAGTAAAGTATAGATGGTACAAGCTAAGTCTGCAATCACAGAATGCACTTGTTCAACAGTCAATGACTGTTGAACATCTTTTCCCTTCAGTTTTGGCCTTAGTATTGCTTCAGTAAAATTTGTACGATCAAGTCCAAGCAATAAACATAGCCTTTGTACAGCTAAATAAAAACTTTTTACTTTTGAAAGAAAGCAATAAAGAAAACTGAAAATTGTGGTAAAAACAGCAGAAAATAATAAAGATTAGAAAATAAAGACACTTTCATTCCCATCAAACGCCAAACTGGTATTCCGAGTAGTCTTTGCTTTGAGCTGACTTAAATGTAAGACGCTAGCACATATTTTATAAATACTATGACGTTCTTCTTCTGTGATACCAAATGAACTTAGTGCTTTCTAAAAATTGAGAAGCAAATTACGAGACAAAAAAATTGATCTAAGTTTACTATAGTTTGAATAATTTTGTTTTCGAGAACAATTAGACACTTTTAATTAATTTACTTGTTCAAGAAACACAGATAAGTATTCTGTTAATTCTAAATTTCAGTTTTTTAAGAGTCTCATGTGATCAGTGTTCAAACTTTAGCGGTTTTAAGTACAATCTGTTTAAATTTGTCTAAAAATGACAATTGTAAAAAAGTTAGTGCTGTTCCGTTTCACAAAACAGCTGTTTATTGAATGATCGCAGTTAATCAACTAACATCTGTACGCTTATAGTCGTTGGAATCGTCAAGACCATGAAAATGTGTTTCAGCTTGACAAACGAATTTGTATTTTTTAATATCCCGTTCAAGGAGGCAGATTTCTAAATGTAAAAGGTCAATTGTAAAATGAACTGAGTTTAGAAGCAAGAATACTAGACAATTTAATCTGATGGAACAATTTTATCATTTAATTTAAGCAAAGAAAAATGGTTCAAAAAAGAACAAAATTTTATTGCTACTTACCGCATATTTTTCTGTTTGATATCAGCTGATAAAATATGTGAAACGAACGTTCTTGCGGAAATTGTTTTACGACACGTGACTTTTCCAGTAAAACTTCAATAACATTTACAATCTTAATCTTAGAAATTAGAACAAAAAAAAAAA